AAAGTATTCAGACCCCCTTAAATTTTTCACACTTTGTTATATTGCAGCAAAGGTCAAAGATCAGTAGGGCCGCTCCACTCAACGTCTGGATGTCAAATGCAAACCAGTAGCTTGAGTAGAGTGGGAATGTGTTTTTCTATTAAAGCCATGGAACATCCAGTCATGCTTTCCTGTTTTGGTTTGTGTCTCATGGACGTTTCATTCGTGTTATACATTCATTCCTGTCAGACTTCCCTGCCCAGATGGCAAAAATAATCCTCTGTTTTTCTCTGTTTGAACATTCCTGTTGTGATGACATAATAGGAAAAGGATGGGCACGTATGAGTGCAAACACTCTCCATCAGCCTCTAACTGCTATTTTAACCTTTTCGTGCTTTTTGGAAATATAAGAGCATAATAGATTAAGCGTATCTGCATGGGAACAGGGAGGATGGTACTGTATATAATATATGTGTGTGTTATGAAGTGCTCTTGCTATATCTTCACTGTGATGTATACAGCAGACGGTTTAACCCAGTAATGGGTAAAGAGGCATAACAGCAGCTCTTGGCTCGTGTATGTTGATACTAAGCATACTAGAGATGGTACAGGCCTCTCAAGACCGCTCAGCTGTTATTCTCATTGCACAGTGACAGAAAATAAACAGGCCTCATTTGACTCCTTGGCCTGTAGGACACAGTGGCCGTGCGCATAAGGCAGCTAAATATGGTCATGGGTTTTGATTAAGGAGAATGAAAACCCCATTCAACTACCAAAAACACTCCTGAAACATTCAGGTAGTGACAACCACCATACTGTAGTGCATGATTAATCAAAACAGAAATCACGATATGGCTTCGTGCGATTCTCAAAGAGCAAAGGCTGTGATTTAATTAAAGGAGTGTATGCACTGTGTGTTTGAGAGTGAAGCGCGGCACTACACATGAGCAGCTCAGGATCTGTGTTTTTTTACAGAAAAATCGTAATTAGATTTTTTAATAAGCCAATGTTAGATTTTTTTCTATACTGGATATTTAAATGTTCATGCTCATTTCCCTTATTTTTACATTATTTTAGATTTTATTTTTCATCATCTAATGAATCATCATCTGATGAAATAAACAGGCTTTCATTCATGTTTCTTGTTCACAGCCGGTCACTGGTTATCATCACTATGTCAACATAGTGTGACTCCTGCTTTACACATTAAAGGATTCAAATGAGAGGATTCACTGTCAATCTTAAAACACACTGCTGTATATATGTGGCCAATGTGTTTCAACAAGCAGCTTACAAACATAATACTGGATCTGTTCAGTAAGGTGAATCAAACTGTAATAAAAGCACATTAAGTGTTGTTTTCATTGACTCTCACATTAGAATCAAACAGCCATTAACATCAGAAGACCCTTCACAATTAGAAAAACTAAACTCTGCGGTTACACCAGTAGAAGACGCCACGGTTTCCTCCAAAACAGAATTAGCTTCTCTCACAATGAGTCTCCTGTTCTGCAGGCCAGTGAGGGAAAGGATGAGACGTCGTTTTAACATTCTTGTTTTGACACTCTTGCACATTTCCTTCGATGGAGTTTTATCCGTTGCATAATATTTTCCAGAAACTGGAGGCAGACGTGTCAGAGCGGAGGAAGAAAAATCCTCTCACACTGTCAATCCAAATGTTTTAATTTCACTGTGTTGCTGTAATGCTGGAGTATGTCACAATACATTCCTGTAGAGCAACAACTGCATTATGAAACACACACACACATCTGATTCGTATGCCACATGCATTTGGTTGGTGTGAAACAACCTGGGAATCACCCAGAAGCTCAACTGAACACCTCCTCCAAAGAACGTTCCCCATCACGGAACAGTCTCCTCCTGGTGTCTGGAGGTCTCCATCAGGTCCTGGACCAGGCTCTGTCCTGCTTAACTTCAGCGGAAAAGCAGCCGCTGGCATGAGTCCCACAATCTCAGGTTTGTTTTGAGAGCTGAGAGCTGCCATGTGGGTCAATGTTTCAAAAGTTTGAAGACAATTCTTCAGCAGTAGGATGCATTACAAAAGGCCGGCCTTCATTCCTGTGGTTAATACGAGCTGTCAGCATCCACATTAGGACCGCTTCTGAAGGGAAGGAGAACAGTAACTCTAATACAAACTAAACAAGAGCAGAGGAACCAGATCTACAGGAAACCAAAGCCCTGGAGAACGCTACTAAAGCTCTCGAGATTCAGTTTGTGTCTTCAGTGCACTGAGCCAGGCGAACGCTGGGTCAGTCAAACAAAGTCCTCAATGAGTGTTTGAATCCAGGTAGATTTCACATTGCCACTTTACACAGAAAAACTGAATCTGAAAAAACAAGACCTTAAACGACGAGATAAACGGAACAGCCAATGCCAAACTGTGTGGATGCAGCAAGAGGCCTTGAGCAGTCAAGACCAAACGTGTTTCAGATGAAGTTTGTGCATCAAACACACATCAGAATCAGAAAGCAGCTGCTCTCGTACAATACATTCAGAAGGCTGGTTTCTGTGGAAACGGCTCTGTTTCCTCTGTGTTTACAGCTGGGGCTGGAAATATGTGTCCCAAATCAGTCGTCTGGCCAGCGCCGTGCTGGCCGAGCTCTTCACGATCATCTATCATCATATATTACAGGAGTTCTTGAGAAATGTGAATCACAAAAGCTCTAGAAGCGGTCATCTCAAACATCACACAGCTTAAAGGTACAGTTCACCTAAAAACTAAACTTCTGTTTAGCCACCCTCATTTATGAAAGTCAGTGGGGTCCAAAACAACTGACTTTGATTTCCTCTTCAATGTGAGGGGGAGTAAATGCTTTAAATTTGCATTTGTGGGTGAACTACTCCTTTAAATGCACATTCTGAAGCTTTTCTCCTGCATCTGGAATAATGTGTCAAATTGCAGCTGATTGAGAAACTGCAGTGTTATCGACAGCCAAGCCATTCCTCAAAACATATTAAATTCATCATTAACATAAAACGAGGTCAAGAATGTGATCTCCTGGCACGCGTCCCGTTTGGACCGAGCTCTGCGTTATTTTACAGATGGAACACAATACAGCTTTTGTGGACATGATGTCATCCTGGACAAGATTACTCAGGCTCCGCCGCTTGTCATAACGGCAATTTCGACCGAACAGAGTCACTGTGCCAACTATCTGTCATCATGAGGGTAATTGAGGTAAAGAAATGGGGTTTAGCCCTCTACGACCACCTTCTGTGACCTTGAGCTCCCTCACCAAACTATGACCCTCACCTGGATACAGTGATGGAAACATGGAAAGTGACTTTCATAGCGCCCTAAAACTACTATGGAAAAACAATATAAAAATAGCTACAATGGACATAAAATTAATAGAAATGCATCTGGATCTTAATAAATCATGTTGCAGCAACAGTTCATGGAGTTCTGCAGTCTCAGCGCTCAGAGAAAACCACATCAGAGCCGGAGCCCATCATCATCATCATCATCATCATCATCACGTCTCCCAGCGGCTCCTGTGCTGCTCGTGTTCACCTATAGCCTACAGTCTGTTCTGAGCGTTTAGCGGGTCTCATTTCACCCTGAAACTATAGGTTTTGTTTTTTAACAGTAACAAAAAGATCCCATTATTGCACAGCTACTTACAAAATACATGGACATCAAGGGAGCCCCGTCCTGTTCCTGGAGATCTACCTGATCAAACACAACTAGACCAGCTAATTAAGGTCGTCAATAGCATTTAATAATTACATCACCCCTGATGTACGTGAAATATTGATTTGTACATGTTCCCCTAAAGCAGGGCTTCTCAACTCTGGCCCTCGAGTTCCACTTTCCTGCAGAGTTTAGCTCCAGCCGTGATCAAACTCACCTGCCAGCAACTTTCTCGTGAGCTTGCGAGGTGTGTTTGAGCTAAACTCTGACCTCGAGGGCCAGAGTTGAGAACCCCGGCCATAAAAAAATTA